AAGTGGGTATATTTTTTTAAGTTTATTTATTTTAGAGAGAGAGAGAGAGAAAGCATGAGCGGAAGGGGTAGAGGGAGAAAGAGAGAGAATCTCAAGCAGACTCTGCGCTGAGCACAGAGCCCAATGCAGGGCTCGATCTCACGAGGGGGAGATCATGACCTGAGCCAAAATAAAGAGTTGGTCGCTAAACTGACTGCACCACCCAGGTGCCCCAAAGTGGATGTATTTTTAAAAATAATTTGGAGAAAAAAAATAAAAATAAAAATAAAAAAATAATTTGGAGGTAGAGGCAATAGAGGCACCTACAAAATACAAAGATTTTATAGCTCTTTTACAAGGGTATATTGCCCTGTTTTATTTCTAATACCATAATTAATATTATTAGAATTCTGTTGACATTTGTGAAACAAACTAGTTCATAGGATCAATGTCTTCACAGAAAGGTCTATGTAGGGCGCCTGGGTGGCTCAGTTGGTTAAGCGACTGCCTTCGGCTCAGGTCATGATCCTGGAGTCCCTGGATCGAGTCCCGCATCGGGCTCCCTGCTTGACAGGGAGTCTGCTTCTCCCTCTGACCCTCCTCCCTCTCATGCTTTCTGTGTCTCATTCTCGCTCAAATAAATAAATAAAATATTTAAAAAAAAAAAAAAAGAAAGGTCTATGTAGACTTATAAAGTTCCTTCCTCTTATGCCTCTGGGAAATGAGAAAACTCGTAAGTCACCACCTTTTTTAGCAGTTTGGGATATTTTTACAAAAATGCATGATTTACTGTTTGCCTCTGAGCCCTTTGAGAGCAGGGGCTGTTTGTTCTTCACCTAGGCTCAGCACCAAATGCACAATAGATTCCTCATAAATGCATGTGCAGTAAATGAATAAATACTGACATGTTAATTTCATTTCCAATTTCATTTCATTTCTACTTATATAAACTTTACATGGGCTCCTTAAAATGTATCCCATTTGCTATTCTGCTATTCAGAGAAGATTCTTTTTTTCAGGATAATTCATGTTAATGCCTACTTTGGGATTATTTGATAATGAAGCATTTTATTTTTAAAATATTTAATTAAATTGGTGTCCGATACATGGATGTGTTTACATTTTGTGTTATTTTGCTAGAGCTGGCATCGCAAATACTATAAACTGAGTGGCTGAAACAACAGAAATGTATTTTTTCACAGTTCTAGAGGCTGGAAATCCAAGATTGGTGGCAGCAGGTTTGGTTTCTTCTGAGGCCTCTCTCTTTGACTTGCAGATGGCCACTTCCTCACTGTGTCCTCCCATGGCCTCTCCTCTGTGCACGCACATGGCCCTGGTATCCCTCTGTGTGTCCAAATTTCCTCTTTGTCTGAGGATACCAGTCAGACTGCATTAGGACCCACCCCAAAGACCTTCCCTTAATTCAATCGTCTCTTTAAAGGCCCTGTCTCTAAATCCAGTCACCTTCTGGGGTCCTGGGGGTTAGAGCCTCGATACAATTTGGGAGGAACACAACTTATATTTGTCTGTTACAAATGCTAATTCTTTAACAGTAAGAAAATAGACCCATTTTTTAGTGATGACTGTATGCCAGTCATTAACACACACACACACCCACACACACGCACACACGCACGCACTAGCCCTATAAGGTAAATAGTATTATTTGCTGATGCACAAACTGAGGCTGAGAGAAGACAAATTGGCAAAGATCCCAGAGATAGAAGGTCGGGGCTAGTATTTAAACCCAGATCTTCATGACTTCAAGGCCTGTTCTTTTAACAACTACACAGTGCTGCCATCCCTAATAGAACGATTGTGAATGTATCTAATAAAATAGTGCATGTAAAGTACTTGGCACAGTGCCCAACACATAATGACTCAACAAATGTCAGTTTACTGCCCCTAACACTACGGGCTTAAAGGACAATAGCATTTGAATCACCTCTTTCTCTCTCTCCTGGTTTTTCTGGAATGCCAATTTGGAATACACGTCTTGAAAAGATGGGCCATAATGGTTCTCTCGACTCAGTGTCAAAGCCTGTTCGCTATTTCAGTAGATGCCTCTGTGTATATATGAATTCACAGGAGCTAGATAATGAAAATGCTTTTAAATATAAAAATAGTTTTCACAATTCTAATGCTTAGCAACTAGCATTAAAAAGGGAAAGAAAAGCACAGTAACATTCCTTTTCCTTTAAAGACCATTCTGTTTATAAAACCATCTCTAGCTGTGAGTGCTTTAAATCAGCAGGAATTAAGGCAAAATAAAATAAACTCCAAGTTTAACATAGCAGTAAATTAACTATTCAAGATCCCTGCCATGAATATATTTACCAATTTATAGAGGTAAAGGTTGATGGTAAAATGAAATGTCTATGGTGAAATGAAAATTAACTCTCTGGACAGAGAAAACACCCAACAGCTTTAGAAATGCAATCAAAGAGAATTCGAGACAGAATTTCTCCTTTTGTGATTTCACTGGTTACTGCTATACATGCTATCTCAAAATGTCTACTACTACTAATAATAATCAAGTCTTGTTTAATGAAATCTGTAACCTATTTTAAAAGGTTCCAGCATAGATGGTATAACAGCATGTATGTGTCTGTTGGTTTCGGCTTTAACCCAAGGGGCAGCTGGTTGCCTTAATAGAGATTCCAGAGATGGGAGGCAAGCAATTTATCAGAAAAATGCCACTTTTCCGAGGTAACTGGTACAAGTGCCTCAGCTATCTGCGTCTCTACACCTGAGACTTGGCTAATTAGCATACTAAATGTCAGAAGTGGTTTTTATCTGGAAAATTCATGGTTTATTTATAGGCATGATGAATGTTAGAAATGGGCCATCATTGGTGACATTAAAGGTATTCATGGATCGCTAAGGAATTTTAGAAACACTTTCTACCTTCGTATGAATCTGGTGAATCCTGAAACTGAGGCCAGCAGAGAGGGGAGCCAAGGCTGGACTACTAGATGATCTTGTGTCCATTCATGGTTCTTTAGTTGACTGGCTGTCCAAGGCAGACTGTAAAGGACAGAATCCTGCCTGTGGGTTTTTGTTTTGAGTAAACTTTCATGCAGGATGCCTAAAGAACTCCTCTGGCACATCTTCAAGCTTTAGAACCTGGTCATTAACAAGTGCTTGTTAAATGAATGTCTTCTATATGTATGGCAAAGTTCGTCTGAGATTTATTTTTTATTATAAGGTGGTAGCCAGTTTGTTGGGGAGGGGCCAACCCTTTCTCACTCAAGGTCTTTGGGGGTCAGATAGAATTCAGGAGATATATGTGTATAATCAAAGTGGTTAGGTCAGTCAGAGCAGCATTTTAGGGGATTCTTTTTCTTTAATTCCAATCTTTAATTTTCTGTGGGAATGTCGACATGACCCATAAAAAAATAAAATTTATTAATCTTACTAGTCATGCAATTCTAAATAAGCCCTTAATAATACTAAACATGAGACCACTTGAATGAATATTTTCCTTATTTCTTAGTTTTCAATTAACATTCTTTTACATCTTTCCAGAAAACAGGGGAAAAACAACAAAAAGTTGCCTTGAGAATTTGTTATAAATTAAGAAAAGCTTTGTCCTCAAGGCAAAGAATTCAGAGAGAAAAAAGCAGGAACTAGTGCTTTAGCCTTAGTTAAATTTCATAAACCATTTTGTTCTGGATTTGGCAGAACACAAAATGCTTTTGCCAAATTTTTCCCTCATTATTTAAAGCCACATGTTCTATGAAGGGGATTTAATGCATATGTTACAAAAGTTTTTATAAATATGTTCTACTAGTAGAGATTACTAAGCTAAGGTGACCATGCCTAAACATTAGCCCATTATAACACAAGCCATGGGATTGTTTTAATTAATCAGTCACTTTCCTAAAGTATGATGGAATGGAACTTACCTACAGAGGAAATGGAATTTAGTTGAACCATGAGGAATTGAGGTTGAATAGATTTATCACCGGTGAGATTTATTAAGCCTTACAATATATGGAAGGCTTGGGAATGTAGACTCATCAGACAAATAAAAATTCAGAGTTGGAAGGGTATTTTGGCAAATTGCAACCTCATTTGGCCTCAGTTTCTGCTTCTGTAAAATTTAAGGGTTGGTGTATGTTGTCGAATCCCAGGCTATTAATACTAAAGACCACCTTTATTTCACTCACTCACTGTGGGCCATATAATTCAAAAATTTTGCTAACCAAGTTGCATCTGATGAGTAATAAATCCTTTCTCAGATTTTTATTAATGAAACATATTAATCACTGTTTGTGATCAGTAGAAGATATCCAGGATTACCACACTGGGTGGATATACTGTTGGCCAAAGCCAAAGAAATTTGATATTTTAGTTAACCTGTGCAGGTTGCCTGTGGTAAAATTTACTATTTCCATCAGACATTTTAAAATATAGGCAGTGCTGATTGTATGAGGATAATTGATTCCAGAAAAGGGCCATTTACAGTGAGTCCATGTAAAACACAGGTCATTCTGCCTTGAAATTTGAAGTTTATAATTATGAAAATGAGTTTATTTTATTTCAGGTTATACTTGTAGTTAAGGGTATATGTGTACCTGAATACATCATAGAATAATAGAGTGACAAGAATATTGTTTGTTTTATTTTGATGTAATTTTTTCCCAACAAGACCTCACCTCACAGTTAACTTAGAAGTTTGCAAGAAGGGTCCTTTTGGTTGGGGGAGAGGATGGTGTGGGGCATAGTGGGTACAAAATAGTCAAGGCCCAAAGACTTCCTTAATCCTTTGATCCTTAATCAAATTGTTCTCTTGTGCACCCTGATCATCCTCGTGCCCAATCTTGAACTTCAGTTTGCAGCTGATTTTTGCATTGTACTTGCATTGTGTGGTTGAAGGATTATAAACATCAAGTCAAAGAGAACAAAGATACTGAAGCCAAAGGCAAGGCTAGATCTAGTGGTAGAATGGGAATAAAGGGGGGCTATTTTTTTTTTATGAGTGGTTCATTTCTGAGTGATTTTTTTTTTTTTTTCAGGTTACATCTACTTTATTTCCTTTGCAACTGGTACCCCTACCAGGGGTCTCTGGAGGAACTCCTATAAGTAAAATAGATCATTGTCTGCCATCCGTTGAAAAGCATCATTCACTTGGCTGGCCCAGGAACCCCACCCAGACTGAGGATCGCTTCATCTTTATTATAGTCCTCTGTCTCTAATATTCTATACATTTGGTTGTATACTCTTTTCTGATGTGGAAATTGAGAGGCTGAGGAGTTATTATTTGCTATAGGTCACATGGCTACTACTGGCCAAAGCAGGTCTAGAATCTGGATTCCTGGCTTTTTTGGGGGGAGGGGGAGGGAACACTTGAACATAATATTTGTGATTGCAAGTGTTTATGATTTTATTAATTCAAATCATGCCTTGTCTTTAAACTTTAAGATATTATAATTTGATTAAATAGAAATGCTAAATGTTAAAAACAATAACTGTCTCTTCCTCAGGAAACCTCATGGGCTTTAAAAGGATATCTTTAAGAAATATATTATATTCTGTTAATTTTAATCAAATTTTTCTAGTCTGGAGATCAAAATTAAGCTGCAGTTTCAGACACTGGCACTCCAGAACAGTACAGTTTGGGATGACTCAGCCAAGGGAATTTCCTTTGTTAAAATGTTTCAAAGAGATAGCATCATGTGGTCTAAGTGGTAAGAACACCCTACACGTGGAACCTTCAAGATGGGTACCTGGAGGGGGAGGGAGGGAGACAGTCTTCAGGCTTCCACATTGGAACCAGGGGAGAAGGGACGTGTTTGAGTATTAGAATCTGGGGTGAAATTTACTTATTGTTGCCAACCTTTGAAAACTTACCCAGAGTCTGGATTCACCTTAAATTAAATTATGGAACATTTCCTGTATAAACTGATTGATGAGACACTTTATTTTCATGGATATCTTCAGTGGGAACTCCAATATAGCAGACATGCTATTGTTATTCTTACTAATCTTCCTCTCTGAGGAGCTATTTTTTTTTAAACAGAAAAAATGAAAGAAAAAAACCTTATTTTGCCTTGAGTCATATCTGAATAATGTTAAGTTTTGATAACCTCTCCTGAAGAGTATCAAGATTTTTTTCTTTCCTTTTGTTTCTCTAAAATTCATGGAGAGCTTATCTTTCCACTAGCCATTAAACCATCTATCATATGATAAACTAGGAAGTGGAGCCCTTCGTGATTTATACTGGTAAAATGGGTGGTCAGGAAGAGTTGGGAGATTTAAGAATATTTGAGTTACTTCTTGCTTCCTGGTGAGACTGTTTAAATTTAGGATATGCACATAGTATAATTGTGGAAAATCTTGTGGAAATTCAGAAAAGTTTTAAAATTTCAAAAAAAAAATCACTGATAATACTAATTGTTTTAACCTTTTCCAGGTCACAGCAGGGTAGAGAGTGGTTGGGTGCATGGATCTGAAGCTGGACTGCCTGGGCTTCACCATTCCCTGGCTGGATGACCTGAGGCAAGCTTCTTAACCTCAGTGGGCCTCAGTTTCAATCTTTATAGAATGGGGAGGAGAATAATACCTACTTCATTGGGTTGTTGAGAGGATATAAATGAGTTAACATGCATGAAGCTCTTAGAACCGTGAAAACATGACCCATGTCAACTTCCATGGTCGTGTTAGTGTCATTGTTATAAGTTTATCCTTCTGAATCCCTGATAGACATGTAGATGAATGATGTCACAGATCTTATTTTATAATTAGAGAGACTCCGAAATCACCAATAGTATGTAAAAGATCAGGGCAAATCTGTAGCTTTCTATCTGTAGAATCTGGTGCCATTCAAAAATAAAGAAGAAGAAAAAAAGACATGAGTATACGTTTCTCTAAATATATGAGGAGCATGAACACCAAATGTGAAAAAAGGATCTGGTGAGGTTGGGGGGAAAGTTCAGAGTTTATTAGTGGTTAAGACATGAGTATCTCAGTAATTTGGGAGAGTTCATAACAAGCAACCCCTTTCTTGATAGTCTGATGGACTAGAGCAGTGGTTCTCAAAGCTCGATTCTCAGACCAGCAGCATCAGCATCACCAGGAACTAGTTGGGAATACAGATTCTCAGGCCCCACCCCAGACCAGACCTACTGAATCAGAAACTCTGGGGGTGGGCCCAGCCATTTACCTTTTTACAGAGACAGCACACTGAAGTTTGTGAGCACTGGAATAGTGAGGTGACATGAAGATTGAAAAACCTATTTTTCTAATTCTGACATTTGCATGGACCTCCTCAAAACGTCAAGAACCACCGCATGGATGGAAATCACCTATAATTAAAGAAAAACAAAATAACTTTTGAAAAGAAATTTTATCAGGGAGGCAAGAGGGTTTTAACGTTATTTATGTACTTATTTATTTATGAACAAAAGGCCCTTATTGTATTAATAAATAAAATCTGAATTCAAAGTCATTCAGTTCTGCCTTAAAAGAAACCAAAGTGGTTGAAAAATAAAGCACTGTTCTCTGAAGGGCTTTTGTATCTCTATAGTTCTACTTTCTGACCTCAAGTGGAAGTGTTTGCTTACCTACCAGCCTGCAAGCTTCAGAGCAGTTTCCATGTCTTGGACATCTCTATATTTTTGATGCTGACTTAATATAAGCACTGATACATGTTTCTGCAAATCACCAAATAATTAACTGAGCCAAATGCTTATTACTTAAGGAAGATTAGTGGCTGAATTAATAAAGAGATGGCAGAACTAGCATTTTGATTTTCATATACAACTTAAAAAGTAATTGTATAAAGCTGCAAAAGGAATTACGTTTTTTAATAGGGACATTGTTTTGAAATAAGTGAGGAAATTAAAGGGTCTGATTAAAGCAATATTATCAGATTTTTATTTTTAAAGGGACAGTTGAAGCTAACTACTTTCCAAGTATATATATCATAATTCTTAGCAGAATTTATTTATATTTCCATGATGATGTCATAGCAAATGACATGGAAAAAATATATATATATACACACATTTTACCTTCAATCTGGTGGTAAGACAAATTGAAGATATTTCCTCTAATTAAAAAGGAAATTTGTTTTTATTGAGAGGTGTGAACTATTATTTTAAAAGCTAGGAGAAAGAAGAGTGGAGAAAAAAACAAGTTTAGATTCACTTGAGTCACTGGGCAAGAATCTGGGAGAAATGCTGAGCTCACAGCCTTCCAGGGAAAAGATTGGCATTCGCATGCGTGGGTTCTCAGAAGTGCACAGCCAATGGCCAGATGGTGACAGTTTGGGGAGAAGCCGGGCTGTCAGCAGTGAGAACATTCAGGTTGCATACAGATGTTCTACGTGGGCTGGGACAGAGGGAAGCCTTGCCTGAACAAAGATAGAACCTTGGTTAAGGAATTGTTTAGAAGCAAGCAATTCACCTACATAATGGAGAAAATCAAAAAATGTTTTATAATATTTAATGTATTAGTTAGTAGCTATAATATACAGGAAACCATGTCTGAGATCTTTGAGGTAAATGCAGTAAGGAAGATGTTGCTTTAGTCAGCTGACTGGAATGTAGCAGAGTGCCTCAGGAGTCTTACAGGTTAAAACAAAACAAAACAAAACACCGGATCTGTATGTATTCCCAGCTTCACTGAATTCCAGCCTAGAAGTCTGCCAATAGGCTCTTCATGCCCCAGCTAGTGATATAATCACTCTGAGGAACAAGTACACTTGGTACAATGGTGGTTTCTGAAGTCCAGAGTATCCTATTTGGTGCTGCATGCTTCACCTTACTGTTGCCCTTAAACCTTGCTCTTTGCACAGAGACTAAACATCTATTATTCAAGTTGAGGTATGCTGAAGAAAGGAAGGGAGCTGAGAGAGAGAAAGAGGGCAGTGAGAGCAAAGGGCAGGGTAGTGGTAATCGAATCCTAAAAATAGAAAGCTAGAAGGAACCAATGGCTGGAAGAAAATCCCAGGAAAATCTCCGTGAAGTTGGCTTGTCTTGGCTCATTTGAATGATGTTCCCTTTAGAGAGTTAAATTAGTAGAAACTCTGTGGGCCTAACATGGTCATCAATTCCATAATGATGTGTATGTGTGGATGTCAATTTTAACTAAACTGCATGGCACAATAAGGTTCTGTGCTATCTAGACTATGCTGGGAGCCATGACTATACCCATTGAGCTTCAAAAAAGAGCCAACGTTCAGTTGTCTTTTGAGGTAGCCTGAGAGATCTGGTCTTTGCAATTCTATAGTCATTGACAACATGGCTTCATTTGTTGGACCAACCTTGAAAGTGCTATCTCTCTTAACTTCAGAGGGCCATGAGATTGGTGAGATTGTGGGGCATGCCCTCTAGCTAGCAGCTCCCCCACCTTTCTTCCCTGTCAGGCCTAAGGACGGTGAGAAGAAAACCTGTTTACCCAAAAGTATGTCCATGGCGCTGCTTGTTTTTGGACACAACCTATAGGTAAAGAGCCTTATATAGACCCAGATAATTTTGTTGACTCCTGGCCATCAATGAAAAAGAAACTTGAGGGCTAGTATAATTGGGAAAATGGAGACCAGGCAGCTGTTTCATGGCAGACTCCAGGAGGAAAAGCAAAGACTTCTGGTTGTAGTGTTTCGTGAGGCTAGGCATCCCCAGGACCCTGGAGTTTGGAGGGTGTGTTGGGATTTGACTTTAGCTCTCCGCTACTTTTGCTCTAGAACAGGCTTATCACCAGCTTTCAGTATGCCCATGCTTGGAGGCAGGAGTGGGACTATTCCTCCCTTCCTAACCTACAGAGAGACTGAGAGTAAAGGAAAGAAATCAAGGTACTCTTTATCCAAGGAAGGGGAACAACTGCTGGGTAAATAAGCAGGACCCTGCGGATGTTAGCTGATTTCCTCCAACACAGTTTTGGATTTAAAAGTCTTTAGAAATTATGCTTTTTCTTTTGTGGACACTTCAAGTTTTTAAAACCCTTTCCCATATATTTTCTAATTTTAACCCCACTGTTAGCTCTCTGTTTGAAGAGGCACTGGTTAAGAGCACAGATGCTGAGGCCAGGGTTCAAAGCTCGTCAAGCTCTATGATCTTTGGTGAATTATCTAGCCTATCGGTAACCATGATTTTCTCAGATGTCAAATGAGGATTATACTAGCAAGCTCTTCATAGGTTGGTTGTGAGGGCTGTATAAATTAATACGTGTAAAACATAAAATGGTACCTAGCGCATACTAAGCTATCAGTATGTGTGAGCTCTTACCAGGAAACTGGAGCCCCTGAGAAGTGGAATGATTTAGAGGCTACATTCCACCAGAATCTCAAGGTCACAAGACTGAGAAGTGATGGTGTCAGGACTTGAATCCTAGTTTAATTATGTCAGCTCCAGCTCTCCTTTTCAATAATAGAAAACTGTATGAAGATTTAAATGCACACACAGGGAGAGAGAGAAGAGAGAGGCCCACTACATTTGTAGAAAATCATAATGTATGTCATAGTCTTACAATTATGTCTGAGCATCTTGTCTGTGATCGTGAGCATTTTTGCGGGCAGGAACTCTGTCATTCTCTTTCATTTTACTGGAACCAGGTACATAAAATGCCTAGCTATATGTATAGATGTTCTGGAATGGAAGAACAATAGAAGGAATGACTGAATGAATGAATATGCATGATTAGCTAGTAAAGTAACACTGTAAGTCTCATAAATTAGAGCAAATGGTTTGGACAGGTTGGTGTAATAATAAGCCCCAAACCGTGTCACCATGCTACTAATAGGAAAGCGCTTGATGCAAGAACTGTCTCCCATTGACACAGCCTCAAGTGGTGTTCTAAGAGCACTTATTCTTAGAAAATGATAAAGAAGGGTACTGAGATGATCAGGTGCCTTAGAACTTTGGAATTCAGTGTTTCTTCAGTGTAATACCCCCCCACCCCCCACCTCATAGGTCTAAGGCATCAGAGTTCCTTTTCTCAGCTAAGATTTTCCTTTTAATCTGGAGTCTTTGGTGGGAGGATGATGGGCTGTAACAGCTATGCTTTAGCGGTCATCTAGCTTTGCAGCCCAGTTTTCTGTCTTCTTGGTCACTCAGAACCCTGGTGCAGCCTGCTAACACACAAGAAAGGCTTCTATGATCTACCCTCCCAACCCCTCTCAAATGGAACCACTTTTTCCTATCTTTCTACTTGGTGAGCAAATCACTAGCAGCAAATAAAGATTTGAACTCTGTAAACTAACAATCTAAAAATAAAAGTCTGTATGCACCCTATGGAATTCCCTAGGCCATGCATCATCCCTTTAATTCAGCGTTTTGTGGAAATTATACCTTATCCTAAATGGCATTTCAGTACGAAAGCAGTGGATGGCATGGAGCTCTGCCACATCCCACTTATTAAGATGTATGTTACTTTACTATGATTTCTCCTAATTTTACATTTCCAAATTAATTGAATTAGTTCTCCCTATAAAACCATGATAACTAAATTTCTGCAGCAGTCTGCCTCAGAGTTGCATAGTAAATTTCCCCTCCCTTCTCTCCTCCTTCCCCAACTCCTCTGGGGCTTTATTTTTGCCCCCTGCTTCAGCACTTAACACTTGAGGAAGTCAGATTTTAAGTTATCATCAGGACCTTCATTTTCACTCCCATATGTAAATAGCTTAGTCTATAGGATACATTTGCAAGATTTATAGTAAGAAGCATGTGAATGAACTTTTTAAAGCTAAATTTAAAACTGGGGTCAAACTATGCCACTAATAGTCTGGAGTTATTATTTATTATAGGTATGACAAGCTATTTATTACAGGTAGAGCTCTTTATTATAGGTACCACTCTAGCATGGCCCTACTGAAGATCTTAGGATTTCCTCTGCTTTACAACAATTCCATAATTCAATCTGCTTTTTTTTTTCATTGTAATTATCATTTAGGAGGATCCATGAATTAGTTTGATAGCACGAGCTCCTCAGAATAAGGAGTTGGGAGGTATAACTTTAATTTCTGGTCTTTTTATTGACTCATGTT